CGGGGGGGACTTCCGAGCCTGCTGAGAAGGCCGACCCCTTCTCACTTCCCCCCTTCGCTCGCCGCCGAGGGACCGAAAGAAGAGGGGGGAGCGGCATTGCGCAAGGCGAGGACACGCGAAGGAGCAGCAGCGCCGTGCGGCCGTGAAAAGGCACGGCGGCCTCTCAGGGAATCAAGTGGGAGCTGGCCTGGAGGGACCACTCGGCGATGTGCCGCCAGCACTGGAGCCCCTCATCCAACTTCGGGTGGCCGTCGTACCCCTAGTGGTTTGCGACTCTGGAGTGCTGCACAGCGACGCGGATCTCGAGGCCGTCGCGGTGGACGATGTGGGAGTGCTCGACTCCGTCAAGCTGGATACCAAGGCGGCAAATAGTCCTGAGGGCAAGGAAGCCTGCAGGAAACAGAAAGACGAGCCACCCACCTACCCACCCAGAGATCCCCAAAGCCATAAACCGTCCACCGAGCTGGGCGTGATTAATTGCTCGGGTCATCCTCACGCTGCTGAGGCGGTGGTGGCTGCCTGGCTGTGCGGCTGCACTGAGACTGGACCACCCGCGTGCTGTTCAATATCATGATGCTGGACTCCGAAGTGCAGGTTCCCGACATCGGGCTCACCTCCATCCTGGCGGCCAGCATGGGAGCGTTTGGTGCCGTTGTGCTGGATAGCGACGTGGTGCTCCCCTTGCGTCGCAGCGGATACCGTGGTAGCGCTGGGTTCCCAAGTGCTGGACGCCGACAAAGTACGCGGCTCCGTCGTGGTGGGCATCGCGGTAGGACCCGTTTCCGTAGTGCTGGACACCGAGGTGTCGCTTTACTTCTTCGTGATGGACATTGTGACCACGTTCGACTCCGTCGTGGTTGACCACATGGCGGCGCTCAAGTACGTAGCGCTGGATGTTGCGACGCAGTCCTCGACTCCGTCATTGTGGACGCCGTGGTAACGTTCAAGTCCGTAGTGCTAGATGCCAATATATTTCTCGACGCTTTCGAGGGGGCACGGGATCGCCAGACGCCGTTGTGCTCGACAGCAACATGGAGTTCGACTCCGTCATGGCGGACCCCCTACAGCGCGCCTTCCGTATTGCTGGATAGTGGCGTGATGTCGAGCTCCGTCGTGGCGGGCTCCGTGGAGGTGCTCGATTTAGGAGTGCAGGATAGCGACTTGCTGCCGTCCCCAATGTCATGGACCACCCTCCTGCTCCTCCTCCAACTCCTCCTCCTCCTCCTCCTCCTCCTCCTCCTCCTCCTCCTCCTCCTCCTCCTCCTCCTCCTCTTCCTCCTGCTCCTGCTCCTGCTCCTCCTCCTCCTCCTCCTCCTCCTCCTCCTCCTCCTCCTCCCCCTCCTCCTCCCCCCTTTTCCTCCTCCTCCTCCTCCTCCTCCTCCTCTTCATCCTCCTCCTCCTCCTCCTCCTCCTCCTCATGGTCCTCCTCCTACTTGTCCTCGTCCTCCACATACTCTTTTACAACTACTCAATATGAATACGATTCTCCTCTCTCCCCTCTCCCCCCGAGGCGTGTTGAGATTATCACGCCCCCTCCGCGCATAGTATGCTTACACAAAGATTTCGAACAGTGTTTTGTCTTATTATGTGTCCTATCCGAGCGTTTTCGGTCCTTCCGAAATGGCGCTCCCGATGCAGCATCGGTTCCATTTCCACGCTCTCGTTTCTTTCAAAATGATGGCCCCGCTTGTCGTCCTTCAAAACGGCGCTCCGTCTACAGCGTGGGCTTCATGTCTGACGTGCCAGTCCTTGACAGTGGCGCTCCAGCTGCAGCGCTGGCCCAACTGCTGAAGCCGCCTTCCTGACTTGCCATGGAACCTCCGTCCGAAAGACTGCCACTCCGGACGTGGCGCAGGCCGTGCTGCTGCATCAGCATATACCTTGCGCCCCCCAGTCCTGGTCCCTGCGTGTTGGCACTTCAAAACGGAGCTCCTGCTACGAGGTTGACCTCCTTCCTGGGTTGCCACGGAGCCTCCATCCAGTGGAGTGGCCCTGTCGCTGCAACGCTGGCAGCATTATTGGATCGGCATTGGCTCACGTCTCCCCGCCCTGTGTCCTACGCAATGCCACGGCTACGCCATGCTACGCTCTGTCGTCGCCATGCCATGCCATGTCATGTTCGGCGGCGTGCCCAAAAGTGGCAATAGGTGGTAGCCCCTTCCGTGGACCTTCCCCCGCCCCTACCCCCTGCCCCCTCTCCCCCACCCAGCCCTGCCCCTACACAAAGCGCCCTTCTTACATCGCTGTGACAGATATGGCGGCAGCGCATCTGGATGAACTCGTGGAAGCAGGAGGGGAACAACATGCGATCGGCAGGCCCCAGGAGAAGGTCGATACGAAGACCAGGCGGACCAACGGGGATGACAGCGAGAAAGATACGCCCAAGCCAGGCACATGCCAGCAGGAATCCAGACATCCGGCGCTCCAATGTTGTTCGAGGCGTGGGACAACGGAGGTCTGGAGCACCTGCCTGGGGCTGGCTGCTCGCCCCGAGTCGTTCCTTGGCGCTCCCGGGGCCCGCTGCGCGCCCGCGGGAGCCGAGGACTGCCCAGGGCGGGCCCTCGGCCCTCCTGGGCAGAGGAGCGAGACCACCCCGAGCGGGCGGGATGGACGGCAGGGAGGAGGCAGAGCGCGCGGCAAGCACGTTTGCGGGACGAGGAGCGTGGCTGCCGAAGCTGCTGGTCCTACACGGCAGAGGGCAGATGCATCGAGCAGACGCTGGCGCACAAGGCGCCGCAGCCGGCCACGAGCCCGTCTCCCTGCATCGAAGGATCAAACACTGCATGGACATCCACTCGGATCAGCGCTCCCTCTGGCGTGCAGGAAGTGCCACGCCTGCCGTGCCCTGCGCCACGGATAGAGGCCGCGCTCAGGGACCACCCCCTGCGCACCCCCTCTTGTGTCCAGAGTGCCACGCCTGAGTCTCGTGCGTTTGTCGTCTACGCGTTGCATGCGCGGTGTCAGCGCCCACACCCCATCTCGGAGGTCCGCGCGGAGTTCCTGGCTCGGCGCCCGAGCCCCCTGGAAAGTGCCGGCAGCGCCGCTCCGAGAACCAGCCCGGGACCACGGCGGCTCGGTCGGCCGACTCTCCCCAGGCCACAGCCGCCTGCCACCGCTTTGCAGACGGACGAGGGACGGTGGATCCCATTTTTTTGTTCTTCGGCGTTTGGGTTTAAAGCTAAATGTGTCTCAGCAGTGTTCCTGTCTCACTCGTTCCCTCCTCATCGTTCTCGTGCCTTCCGTTTCGCCTCCGCCTCCTCACGCAGGCACATCGGCATTTGCGAATCCGATTGCTACTTCGTCTCTGTCTTTTAGTCGCAGGCCAAAAACCCTGCACCACCCGCGCGACCAGGGGTGCCGGCACAAACCTCAACGCGCCCCTCTGCGGCCGATTCAATGTTGGTCGGCGTTGCCAGCGGGGCGCAGGATTTCGGCCAGTCGACAGAAGGGCACATCGCGGCGCAGCCCACACAAAAGGTGCAAATTGTCCATCAACCGCACCACTCGCAAACAGCTGAGGGACCACCTCAGGCTGCCGCAAAGGCCTCGGTGAAGGGAGGAGGCCGAGAGGAATACGCAACAAAACCTGCTCGGTCAAGGCCCGACTTGCTTGCTGGCAACACCCATCACAACACCCCATCTTGACTACACTGCACGAACCTGCGCAATCGTTTTCACGTAGCCTCTTCGGGG